GGTTGGCTTCTCGATACCACTGTTAAAACCGGCCCAAGGCCCGCAGCTGGGATTGAACCTGGCACCCCGGCATTATGAAGCTTGTTCGCAACACCTAAGCCACAGACGCTGACAAACATTGTATGCTGAATAAAGAAAAACTGGGACTTGTATTATATGCTAAATACATCCCAAAAAGCATAGGACTAGTATCGTATGCTGAATATGTCCCAAAGTGTGATTTGCGAGTGCAGGTGTTTCAGAGATCTCTGTGGGTTGTCAGTAGAGCTACAGGGTTTGTGCGTTATGTAATGCTTTGAGTACGTAAATAACCATACTATGGAGAAAGACAAAGCCAAATGGACTCAAACCCAGGGAAATTAAGTGATCCTGTTGTATTTAATTGTTTCATTCTCAAGCAGTTGTTACCTTTGTCTTTGTACCCCAAGAAATTAAGCTCTAAAGCAATAAATAGTTAATTATGAAGAAGCTTAACAGGGAGATATGGGATAGAACTAAACTAATAATTTAGATACAAAGGATTTATAAATTATTTATGTAGACGGTTCAGCCAAGATTGTTAACTGTTTATATAGTTGGTTCAGTCAGGAGCATTAACTACTTATAGTTGGTTTGACATGATAGTTAACCGTTTGTATTGTTGGTTTGACATGATAGTTAACTGTTTGTGTAGTTGGTTTGACATGATAGTTAACTGTTTGTGTAGTTCTTCTTCTGCGTTCGACATCAGTCATGGTACACATTGAGTCCCGTCTGGGTCAAAAATAGGATTGTGCGTTTAAGGTCGCCACCGGTCCCCCATAGCTTCTCTCGCAATGTGGATCCCCTGGGCCAGATCCACAGTCTCTCCTGGGAGAGGTAAGGGCAGTGCTGTAGTATGTGCCCAGGGGTCTGTCTTTCTGTTCCACAATCACAGGCAGCAGATTCTTTTATGCCTATCTTGTACAGGTGTGCTCAAAGACCACAGTGTCCAGAAAGTCAACTGTTTGTGTATTTGGTTTGACATGATAGTTAACTGTTTATTTGGTTCAGTTAAGGTTCCTATATTCAGAGCTGTGTATGCTGAGTAAATTCTCATAATTTGCTCCAGTATAAATATCAGTTCTATTTTCAAACATGGATCCAGTGAATAATGGTCATCTTCTTCTATGTTTATAATATTTATCTGACAGATGAGTGATGCTACTGTGATCTCAAAGCTTATGAGTGTTAAATACAAATAAGAAGGCAGTGGAAGCAATAACAAAATAAAAGAAGAAATATTAATAAAATAAACTAGTTGTAGCCTTTCATCTGTTTATAGAAAGGTCAAACAAACAACATTACTGTGTTTTTTTTTAAATTTATTGCTGCATCTTTCTCTTCCCCCCCCCCCCCCCCCCCCCCATCCCCCACCACCACCACCAATTAACCGAAGTTCAAAGTTAGTGAGTATGTGCGTACGTGTTTGTTTGGAGGGGGTAGGCTGCTACATCATTCATTTTAAAGGTGCAAGAAGTCAAAAAAGTCTGAAAATCTATGCTACAGGTGGTCCAATCTTGTGAGAAAAGAGGGAAACTGGAACATATGATCACTGGAAAGGTTCGCAAAATAGGAAGACAACGCAAGTTATTCTTGATAGCCTTTTGTCATGGCATGGAGGGGTGAATGTCAGCACATGAAATTACAAATGCTGTTGGAGATTGCAAATTGTGGAGAGGTGTGATCACCCCTGCAAGATGGCAAGGCACTTGATAAAGATGAGGTGGCCCAGAGGACCTATTGCAAGTTGGCAATTTCCAAAGGTAAAAAAGTGCATTTTGTTGATGAAATGCAATGATCGCCTTAATGGAATTGAAATCATCCATTTGTGCTCATTGCACAACCTCTCTAGTAGTAGCAAGAATCTCAGAGACATAATCTTTTGCTTCTTCTGCATTCATTCTTTTTTTCTAGTATTCTACTAGTATTTACAAAATGCAAAGAAAATATCTCTATTTTATAATAGATAATTAACATTATTGAAAGTGATGAGGGGCGGCTGTCCAAACGGTTAGAACTCTGGGCTCTCAAGCGGGAAACCCAGGTTTGAATCCTCGGTAAGGCTAGGGATATTTTTTGTCAGGGGCAAAATAAAAATCCTCACCTGTTCAGTCGTAGCAACAGCACTAGCCATGCGGCCGTAAATCCTCAGGCTCAAATGCCCCCCCCCAGCCTACACCGCAAAAGTGGTAAATAAAGGCAGTAATTTGCAGTTTTTTGGCAGAAAGTAATAGACTAAGATAGTTCAGATGTTAAATAAAAGTAACCTCATTTAATAAATTACAGACGAGCAAAGGTTAACAACAATGTTTAATTTACAGATGAAAACATAACATCTGTAACTTTTTTATCTGTAAAAAAAAAAAACACACACACAAAACTCTCCACATAAAGAAATCATAATATACTTTGAAAATCATATTTTACTCACAGATATTTTCAACCACGCTATCTATATATTTTATACGAAAAGAAAGTTATGGCTTTAAAAAAAAAACAGAGAAATGTGAAATTAATAACATTCTTTGAAAATCATATTTTACTCACAGGATGTTTTCAACCGTGCTCACTACACATTTATTTTATATTAAAAGAAATTAAATGCTTAAAAATTATTAAAAAAAAGTAACATGCCTAGTCAAAAGTAAAACAAAGTGAGACAATCAGCATAAGTAAAAACAGTATTTGTACATATAAAAATTATATTTTACTTCATAGGCTGTTTTCAACCATGCTAACTAATATTTTTTTAAATTGTTAATCATTATAGAAAGGTACCATACATAGCCAAAAGTATAACAAAGTGAAAAAATCAGCATAAGTAAAAGAAGTATTTGTACAGATCAAAATTATAGTTGACTTTTTAGGCTGTTTTTAACCATGCGTAGTAAATCTTTATTTTCAAACATGACATTTTAAAAAGCTGAGGCAGCCTAAAATGGGTATCAGGTAAACTCCTGGAAAGTAAATATGAGTCTAACATCATATGTCGGTTGAGCCACTAAAGTGTTGTTTACTTATTTTACTTAACATACACAGCTAAAAGTAATGTGCATAGCTAAAAGTAACGTACATAGCTAAATGTAACATACATAGCTAAAAGTAACATACGTAGCTAAAAGTAACATACACAGCTGAAAGTAACATACATAGCCAGAAGAAAAGTATAACAAACTGAGACAATCAATCAACGTAAAGCAAAGCAGTATTTTTATGCATCATCAATTGAGACAATAGAAACGAGATGCCAACGAGCCAGTGCACTTAAATGCCAGCTGACGCCATTATTCAACGTCAGTAACTTCAATAAATAACTTACTTTTGTAATTATGTAATTTAAAAATATGTGAAAAAATATTTAATGTGAAATGGTGGAATAACTTAGGATAAGTGGATTTCTGGTGTATAAGATTCTTTTTTATTTGTTTATAGTAAATATAATTTACATGACTCTCTCTCGCTCTCTCCCTTTCTCTGCTCATTTTATCATCATCATGACTTGTAGTGAATTCCTTCATTCCATTCTATCCTGAGCATTGTTATTGATACTGTGGATGCAATCCAGTCTGGCGCATTAGGCCTCCATTAAAACTTTGGTCGTGGACTTTAGAGTCCACACATTCTTAATTCCTCTGTTTCTTATTTCAGTACCTGTTATGTGATTCTCGATTCACTTCACCTCAGGATTTGCCCAATATATTGCCATCTTCCTTGTCTTCAGTGGCTGGGGAGACATATCTCTAATACTTTTGACTTACCTGAAATAGTCACATTTAATCCTGCTGCTTATTTACACAGAGCCAAATTTGGAAGAGATATTATTTGAAGTAAGACAACACAGTGCCATACAAAGCACAATCAACAAAATTAGATGTGGTTTAACTTGCGCAAAACCACATTCCTTTTTTTTTTAAATGTCATCAGACATTTTTCTGAGAGAATATGAGCCCAGAAAGGAAATCATTAAACAATAAAATGTTTGAACATGAAGATATAGCAAACCTTACTGGTTGTACATTATCACAAATAATATAATTCCTGTCAAATAGTACAGGCAGTGAGGGAAACAGTCATAAACTGGACTTTATTATAGGTATGTACAAAATGTTATAAATCTATGATTTATGACTGGATTTATTACACGAAGATATGAACAAACAATTATAAATCTGTATTGATTTATGACTGGATATATTACAAGTAGATTGCAACAAATATGATACTAAAGTAAAGAAGATTAAATTTATTTTATCTAGTGTTATCCCATATGACTTGGCCACTCTCTGGAGAAACAAATAACTGCCTGCCGAGATTGTATCACAAAACACAAATTCCAAAGCTTCAGCAGTGACCCTCAAGGATCTGTAAAAACTGCACCCCTGAACTGAATAAGGCATCCATGAAACAAACCCACGACCTTCACAGTTTGAGGAAAAAGGCTTGACCATTGCATGGTGCTGGCACCCAATCAATTTACTACAGTGTGTTTCAGAACAAATAATAATAGACCTATATTGGTTTAGGAGTCGCTGTGGCATAGTGATGAGGAAGCTTGTCTGACAGTCTAGTGGTCATGTGTTTAAAGCAAGGCTAGGTTGTTTTGTTTAATTAATCAAAGTTTCCAGGTGTATCCAGCCTAAAATTACTACCAGAAAACGATATGATGTGAATGCAGTCACCCAACTAGCATACCAAAATAATAAGTGCTATAATTAAATGTAAAGAATATAGTGATAAGTAAATATAGTTTAGGAAACTGTAATTTGCATGTCGTTTTTATTTCTGTACTGAAACGAGTAGAGTAGGTAAGGTAATACACAATTTTAGTTACCCCCCCCCCTCCCCCCCCTCAAAAGTCAGATAACCGACTGCCATAGAAAAATGTTGACAAATATTTTTTCTTTTAAAAAAAAAATAATCATGTTGAAGGCAAAAATCATTGAACCAAAACCAGATTATGCAAGATACTAGAGAAACTGTCACTGGTACTGTGAATATACCTGAGTTCTGATGACAAGCACGTCATCCATCAAATAGGAGCCATTTTCCAGTGCAGAAATAGACACAAATTGCACGTAACCAAAACCCTTGTGGTTTCGAGGTATTGTAGGTCTTTGGAATGCATCCAGGTTTGGGTTTGTCTCTAGTACCTCCATAATATGATTACGTCTGCTAGCATCTGGATTCTGGTCTACCACGGAGATATTAATTCTTCCAGAAAATGGCCACATCAAAAATGCATCATTCTTTCCCTTCATAAAATGTACAAATAAAGACAGGTGTCTTTCATTTTGCGAAGCTGAATCAATACTGGCACGAATGCACATTTTGTAACCCCAAGGGCTTGTATAAAATGGAGGACTGTGTAGCATACTGTTCTCCCCTGCTTCTAGTTTTAGCCGGTAGTGACTGAAATTGTGTATGCACCAGCAAAAATCACCATTAACAAACCTGCCACTTGCCTCAACAACATGCTGTTCCAAATCTCTAACAGTGTTTATTAGACCAGAGTTTGTCTGTTCAACAGCTGTTAATCTCCTGTGCAGTTCATCAAATTTCTGCTCAGAGGCCGCTTCCCTCTTTTTGAATCTAGAAGTAATTTCCTGAAACATACTCTTTACATCTGAGTTCTCAGGAATGTATTCTCCCAATCCTTGATCTCCCAGTAAAAGGTTAGCAAATTCTGGACTGTGATTCACAGCTGCTGATATTTGTGGAGACAGTTTAGACTGGTAAAGTTTACAAACAGTAGGCTTAGTACTCAGAATCTGGGATAATAATGGTAAGCCAGATGTTTCTTGTTCTTCTGCAGTACAATAGTTTAACCAATCATGTGGCCGATACACAGGCTGTTTAATGCCGTGATGTCCATTAGGTAAACAACCTAGAGGAAGCTGTTTGGTAATAGATGACAATTTGTAACTATGTTCTGCTCCTTTTGCTTCTTCATTTTCCAGACTCAGTGCTGATAATTCAGCCAAAGCAGCTTCAAAGTTAAAGGACATCTCATTGGTGCTAACTTCCTCTAAAGAATGGGAACTCTTGTATGAAACTGGCAAAGTAACAGCAGACTCAGCATTAAACCTCTGGACTAAGCTAACTTTCTGATGAGTGTTCTTTGCTGATGTCTGACAAACTGAATTTGCAGTACCCAGCTTCTGAGCTAAAAATGTAACAGCAAAGCAGAGCTGTTTTAGGTGGGATGGGGCAGACATTATCAGATGGTCATCAACCATGCACCGCATCATCTATGGACAAAGGAAGTAGAAATGTCACTAAACATCAAAGGCTAAAATTAGCCAACAGATTATTTCCAATTTTGACAAAATGTTTGTAAATAAAAACAGTGATCATATAACCATAACAATTTCCATTTAATCTCCTTTATGAGCATAATGCTCTCAGGGTAGCTGATTTCATGTCAAGCCATAGTAAAAAAAGTTATTGGTCCAATTTTCAATTTTTCTGTGCAAATTTATTTATATGAGAGCAATTGTATCCCTGTGTAGATTCTGAGGCCCATTTCGGTGGGAGAATTAGCAGACCCCCCTCTGCTAGATACCAAGCATGTTGTTAAAGGTAATTTAATTTTGTGTCAGTTTGAAGCCTGATATCACACCCCAGCTGTAAACCATAAAACAATGCGCCAAAAATTTTAAGGGCGAATATGAAAGAATAAAACCTAAGCCAAATTAATGTTACTAAAATTAACTAGTTTTGCAACCATCACATCAGCATCTGTAGCTTAGGGATTGCAAACGTGCTACATTATTTCCAAGATCCAGGTTTAATCCCTGATTTGGATTGGCAATTGGGCAGCAGACCGCCTTGCGTTGGTTTCACCAGTGGTATCAAAAACTGACAGTTTAGAAAGCAATGGCAAACAACTGTCTAAAAACTAAAATTGTCTAGTGAAATCACAAATAGCCAATAAATGCTGGGGTTAGTTCTGCAATGTACTGTAGAGAATACGCAGTTAACTTATACAACAATCACCTGGCTACAAGTAATTAAAAGGAGCTGAAATAGTGCAGTGGCTAGCACAAATGCCTGCCAGAGTAGTGGTCATGAGTTCAATTCCCCATAATTAAAACTGGTACCAGAAAGTGCTCAGGCGAGTAAAGTCTGCAGGTGTGATACTGACCACATTGACCACTGACAATAAGTAGGTCACTAGAGCAGAAAATAACTACCTGTAAAATCTGTGTAAAGTGACTAACAACACAAGAAAGGGGAAAAAAAGGGGGGGGGGCAGGATAAAGAATGCCAGCATTAAAGAGAAGGCTGGAATAAGACTGTCTGGATTATATTGACAAAGAATGAAATAGTTCAGCCATATAGTGAGACTGCAGCCATACCAAACTGCATATTAAAGTGGATTTTTTTTTACATCATAACATCTGGGAGGAAGGCGAGAGAAAGACCAAGAAAGAGATAGATAAATGGTGTAGCTTAAACCTGCACAAAATATGAATAAATCCATCATCAAACCACACAAGAAGCACTAGACAAAGAGTTTAAGACAGAAACCACAACACTCAGCTACAACCTGGTATCAGTGAGATGACAAAAGATTTTAAAAAAAAAGACCCACTGAGTGCCAGTTTGTTAAAACATTATTTGTACATTCTTTACAGGGTTTCACAAACCAAACCCAGGATTTATTAGGTCTTGCAAGGTTTTTCTAAGCTTGAGAAATAATACTGTTAACTGCCATTCCTCTGTGATATTCAGTCAGATCACTAAGAATGTTGTTTGAGTGCAAAGATGCAATTTTAAGGTTGTTGATTTAATTTGATTCTTCTTCTTCTTTTATTTCATGTTCACAGGGTGTAAACTCAAGCAGAAAATTCTAGATGTTTGACTTTAGTCTTCTTCCAGAAACTGAGTGTTGTGTGCACATCCATTTGACAAGTTTGGCTTATTTGTATGCAGAGTCTTGGTTCCTTGCCTCTCAGATGTTCTCCGATTTCAGTTAGTCTACTTCTACAACATGCTTGTTGGGGAGGCAGTGAATTTATTGGTGCTGTTCATGTTTCCAGGCCCAGGATTAGAGTAACTTCCCTTGCCATTCATGCCTCCTTAGGTCGCTGGACCTCACCTTTGTTGCGGGGAAGTCATGCTTTCCTATCTGTGAACGGTTTAACCATTGCGTCTTTTCTGGTCTTCTCACCGCTCACTTGCATTATTATTTTCACGTTCTGCTACCTGTGTGATGGTTCAGGAGTATGGAAACAGTGATATTTTTATATTCCTTTGCTCCTTGTAACTGCTTTCCTTTTTTCGAGGGAAAGCCACCGCCAACGAACGTAGAAATACAAAAACATCCCAGTTTCAAGAATTGTCGCACCTGCAGTGCTTCCTCCTGCAGTACTTCTTGTACACAGATGCCCGAGGCACCTGAAATTGACTCAAAGCACCATAACCTCCCACTAACATTACATACAATGAGCGAATGCCAAACCAAGCCATATCATAACATTCCCGCAGTGTAGGAGAGGTCCAGCAACCTAAGGAGGCATGAATGGCAAGGGAAGTTACTCTAATCCTGGGCCTGAAAACACGAACAGGACCAATCTATTCTTGTTTTCCCCCACAGTGTGGCCCCAGAACCCATACAGGGAATTTCTATTATTAAAATCTAAGATACTCACAACTTTGGAACAACCCAAGAAGTAAAACGGGCAATGGACCATCACTTGTTGGCATTCATTGTAAATGTGATGTTCCATCTAGAAATAAAATCAATGATTAATAAGAGTATGTCAAATCTTTTAAATCAAGTCTATTAACACTAGTATTTTCCTTGTGGATGCAATTTTTCGTTATTTTGAAACCTCACCCTGGCCGCAATATAGCCTGGCCATAAATATGGTCTTATGGCTGAACGCGGTGTCCGGGACCTCTCCACAGGTGATTCTCATCCACACAGTGGCACTTTCTGTCTTTGGGTGTTTATCGCTGGTGTGATGTCCTGGCGGGGTAAAAGTACTACTACTAAATCAAGATTATCATCATCCTCATCATCCTCACCAGGATCCTTGCTAACTGGCCATATCTTGCAATTGCAGACAATATGTATCAAATTCAGATGCTGACACCTTACAATATGTGTCAAAACAAATCAGCACTTAACTGGTAATTTGGTCAATAGCACACTGACCCCTTTTACTTGCATTGTGGAATTTATGTATGCAGATTTGAGAAAATTGACCTGCTCTCCCATGACCCAGGAAGTACTAGGAAATATTTAGGGAAGTAAAGGAAGCTGACAAGACATTGATGACATTTCCCATCGTGTGTCGATTGTGGTAAATAAATCTGGGGCTAAGTAAGAGAAAACTGGAGTGTGTCGTCATGGTAGGAAAGCTGGAGGGGAGGAGAGGCAGAGGGAGACTGAGAAAACAGATGCTGGACAGTTTGACATCATAGCATGGAAGATCATCTGTGTCAGAAAAGATTACACGAGACAGAAGGTTGTGGATAGACATGACTACCAACACCACACAGAATGGACTCTAAGAAGAAGATGTTCCCAAGTTGATGGCAACAGTAAGATTTACATCCTGGATGAAGAACCAGTTATTTTAATGTGACAAACAGGAAGACAAAAGGGCAGTACAGAACCAGGGAAAAGTTCATGCAGATTTATAAACCAAGGCCACAACTAATAATGAAAACACACTTTTCCTCTGACAACAAACTGCCTACTGAATTGATGAAGCTGAGAAACAAAAAATTCCATAAAGTAACAAACATTTATTTTTAAAGGATGTGATATTTTCCTTTGTTCTTTTTTTTTTTTTGGTCTAGTTTTTATAAATTAATTTTAATTAAAAAAAAAAGAAAAAAACAGTTATGTCCCATTTATTTTTACTTAAAAACAATATTATACAAATTTATAAAAGGAATGTTTGAAGATTACATCAGGGTAAATATGAAACAACAAATTTTGTAAATGTTTCCAAAATACTGGACTCTTTTCCCTGAAGAGTTACTCTAAGAATAGTAGTCTCAGTATGAGGACAAAAGACTGGTGCCGGATCACGTTGCTATTATAGTGAGTTTAGCAACACATACCTTGTTCCGGACAGCCCTCTCTTCACAGTGAGAGCATACAACAATCGCCATAGGACACACTTCTACATGAACCTGAAGATTATTAAAATTCACTGACTTAGAAGGCAGAAACAAGAAAATGACAGTTAACACAATAATCTAAATAAGAACATCCATTGACTATGTTTTCTTCTCAGAGCCAGTTGTTAGTTGTCTGTCCTTTACAGGATGTTGCAGAACCAAACCCAGTCATTTTTGCCTGTATGTGATTTTACTAAGCAATTTTACATTCAGTAGTTTGCCATCTCTTTCCCTGAATGGCTGGTTCTCTACACTATTGTTGAAATCAATGCAAAGTGGTCTGCTGTTAAATCAACTGCAGCTGGAAAAATACTGTGTATCTTAGAATTACGAACCACATTTCTCATCATAACAAAAGTAAAGGAGCCTTTTCCATGCCTTAATGCATATTGGGCATCTAAGGCTAGACCTATATTTTAAAGACCAGTCGGCACTCAGGGGGTGATGTGGTCAACATCGGCCATCTTTACTTCCCAGGAATTTACCTGGTACTCATTCAAGGCTGGATCGACCTGGGAGACAAGGTCACTTTTGACAAATTCAGGTCCATTAGGCCGTGAACCCATGACCTTCAGATCGGCAGGTAAGCATCTAGCTGCTACACCAAGGCAGCTCCACAGTTCTTAAAAGATAGGAGATATTTAAGGTAGCAGCTTTTTATATCGGGACAAAAATGGGGCCATATTAGCGCAGTCAATAGAAGACTCGCTTTCAGATCCAGCTGTGACTCGCAGCAGCCCACTGCCGGTGTTCGGAACCAGACGGTTCCAGGGGGTTCACCCAGGCTCTAGGAAATGAGAATCAGAGTTAACACTGTGGGGAGTTTCGTGAGGACGAGACACAGGCAAACAGTTTCTTATTAGCTGCCCTTACTGGTTTAAGAGCACTTATGGTTTATAACAGTGTGCACTGATGCTGGTTCACATCTCCTGACTTTACCTTTACCTTTTTACTTTTATATCTGAAAAATATTGGTTAATTTTAGCTTTGAACAAATTGCGGGCTGTACTGATAATGGTTAATGTATTTGCCTCACAGTTAGTGCTTCAAAGCAGAGCAGTGGCAGGACTGTTTGACCTATATCCTCTGCAGGTCTAACCAGCTTTATAACAGACCCTACAGGTCATCATCACAATCTAAGAGGCCTTTTACAGAACATCACTCTCAACACGACCCACTGGACAATAATACGGTCCCTTACCAATTCTCCAGCCTTTTACGTCTGCCTGTAACTTGTGTCTAAGAAATATGTTCACCTTTAACCCCCCCCCCCCCCCATATAAACTTAATAGCAATTATTTGTTTAAATGGCTAAAATATTTGTAAATAAACCTCAGAGAAAAAAATTACGTATTTAAACTTTAGCAATACCAAACTAAAAGCTCAGGAGGGCAAGACAATTGTGAACCAAAGATGAGAATATTCAGGTGACCTTTAACAACTTAAAAGTTACATGTTAACTAACCTCAAAGTCTTTAGCTTCCATGTTTTTACTACAGTGTTCACACGTAACATTTCGGTTCTCACAGGAATTATTCAGATGACTGTCTAAATCACAGCGTGGTACTTCACGAGAACATTTGAGTGGGCAAGGCACGAGGGCAAAATAGCACTCTTCCAAGTGATTCTAATTATATAAACAAACAAACAATAAGCAACCATGTATTTCTTCATATAAGTGTACCTTCTGCCCCCTGCTTCTTCTTCATCTTCTTTTTTTTTTTCTTTTTCTTCTTTTTCTTCTTCTTCTTCTTCTTTTTATTCTCATTTGCTGTTGTTTAGTTATGTCTTCACAAATGATAATATTTATACAAGAAGCTGAGTTCTTTGAATGCAAAACATTAAAGAAGGTATGGATATCTGTTAATGTCATAACCAGGAGCGCTCAAAGGTGACCAATTTGTTTTTCAAGAGATAGCTACTGTCTATGTACACTTGGTATCTAATGAAGCATTGGCAAAACACATGCAATCTCTTGTCTGCTCCTTCTGCCCAGTACAGGGTGTCTATGTAAAGTCTTTATGCAGAAAAAAGCTGTGAAAATATAAAATATAAATAAATGTTGTAACTTACAATTAATATTTTCTCAGTCACATTGCCGAATTACAAGATATTAATCTTATAAAGAAATGATAAGTTATTAACAATATAAAACAGCTTCTCATAAATAAACAACTAAGTTACATATTGCAGTAAAGAGTGATCAGTTGTTAAATATACTTGTCATTACTGTATAGTAAAAAGACATGTACAACTAATGTGACAATAACTCTTCATGTCTCTTTCTGTAGATTAGTATTGGTCCAAGTACAACATCTTCTTCTTCTTCAGCATTCCGAGCCCTTATGGTTCATTGCTGCAAATGTCACCCGCTTCCACTCATCTCACTTGTTGGCCTTTTCTTTCAAGTTAGTGACACCAAATGTGTGAAGGTATGTCTGGATATTATTCCATAATCTTTTTGGTCTGCCTTATGGTCTAAAACCTTTCAGCTACCTTGTGTATACAGTTTTTACCTCTGTTAGATCTGACATCCTCTCAATTTGCCGCTGCCACTTTGGTCTATCAGCTCTCATAATACCAGTGATCAATGGGGATTTAAACAGATAATGAATTTTGTTGCTTCTCACTCTCCATTGACTGCTGTTTGCATCTTTGATGTGTCCAAAGATTTGTCATAAGCCTGCATCTTTGATGTGTCCAAAGAACTGTCATAAGACACTGTTTTTGAAAATTTTTAATAAGGCTTCTTTTCTTTTAGTTGTGCTCCAAGTTTCAGAGTCCCATTACACCTTAATATGTGAAAATGATAGTGATGATAGATGATAGTTTTTCTTGGTGCTAAAGGTAAGTACGGCAATCACAGCCCATAGCGATGGCAAGTGAGACTTGCAGGACTAGATCATGTTAAGAAGTTTCCACAATAAGTGCATAAGATTCCCGAAACACTGTTGCCATTTCAGGCACCTGACATGTGTCTTCTCAAATGCTCAGCTCATAACAGATCAGCAATCTTTTTCTTCTTCGTCCCTATTCCTTCCTAATTTTTCCCCTCCATGGTACTCTATTCCCATGAATCCATCTCAAGACATCACTGAAAGACTTCTGTACTGGCCCTAAAACCTGGGAAGTCACGGGTTGTGACCGCTCATCCTAGCGCTGCTCTCTTCATCAAGGAGCTGTGGCCCATGAATCTGCTAGAACTGCAGCAGCAATTCAGAAAAGAACAAGCCAGGAAAGACACTGAAGCAAATCAAAAGAGAGATGCGGCCTCAATTCCCTGTCCACATTGCTCAAGAACTTTCAGTGCTAGAATTGGCCTCAGAAAACCTAATCCAGTCACCAATTGATGAAAGGACTGGTCCTCATCACCTGTGACTGATGAACAACAACATTCCTATGAATCCATCTCAATAACTATATCATTCATGTCCTGCTTGCATGCATCTTTAAAAATATTAAAATTGGGTAACTATCTTCTTCTTCTTCTTCTTCTTCTTCTTCGCCTTCACCAGCTGTAAACTCTAGCGGAAAGTTTTGTATGTTTGTCCACTTCTGAACTGCAGTCCTGTCCCAGAACCTGAGTATTGACAGATCTGACTCATGTGTATGCAGACTGCTGGTTCCTTGCCTCTCAGGCAGATGCACTCTGACTTTGGAGAAAGCTCCCAATTAGTCGACTCTTACGACATGCTTTTGGGTAGGCAGTGGGTCTTTTCTTGTTTTCCCTATAATAGTGCCCTGGAACCCACACAGGGAAACTATGATGTCCAACCTTCAGGTGAATGATTTGCAGCCACACTGAAAAAACAAAGAACTACCACACATCAAACAGGAAACATACTTGCAGTTTTCCAAGGGGAATAATCTTGTCACAGCCAGATTTAAAATTTGGGCACCTGATGCTGAAGTTGAGAATTTCTCGTTTTGCAAAGTTGTCTGGGTAAACATCACTTTCTGATAGTGATTCATTGTCTATGGGGCATCTGTTGCTGGAATCTCTAACAATCATGCCACAAAGTGAAGAAAGAATCCAAATTGTTCATGAATACAGTTAACACAAATCTATGTATAAATCTTCTAAATATATTCATTTCCATAGACCCATTCGGTTTATATTTAACTCTTTCAAATGCTTTTTTGTAATTGACCTTTTTCTGTAACGCTGTTCTTTATGCGTTCATTCCATAGGCTTGTAAACCTGGGAGCCCAGGTAAATTTTTACAGTCTACCCTTTCTTGTCCAGTGCAGCAGACACCCTCAGCCATATTATGCCAAGTCATCCTATCCTTTGCTATAGCATTGTAGTTTCCCCAAAGTCCACCCCATCTTTTTAATTTCACTCTCCAGTACCCTTCTCCATGGCTTTTTTTTTTTGGTCTGCCTTTATTTCCATGACCCTGTAGTTCCAGTGTAAGGACATTTTAGGTATAGTTTTCTTAGATTTTCTCAACATGTGTCTCAGTCAACATCAGTGTCTTTTCTTTACCTATGATTCAGTCTGCCCTTTTGGGGATTCAAACATATGCCAGCAGGCATGCATGCCAAACACTAAACCAAACACTACTGCAATTTCTCTACAATATTATCTGTCCTTTTTGCATACTCAGTATAGTTACTAATAGCACTCAGGCAACATACAAGCATAAATATTCAATTGTGAAATAAATATATCCTATTTATAATTAAGGCGGAGGTGAAAAGGACATCATTGTTAAAATTACTACTACTAAATGCAAACAAACCTAAAACCACTTCATAACATGAACTGATTCTATACGATCTGGCCCTTGCAAGTGGTGAGAACATACTGTTTCCATTTCTTCGTATGGTCCATATCTGTAAACAGTACTCTGCCACATATCCATTTAATCATCACTGATACAGATCTTCTTCAATGCTATGATGCCAAACTGGCAATCGTCATCTCTCTTTCTCTCTTGGTCTCCCCCTGATATTTCCTCTTATATTTTCCTGTTGTGGTGACATATTTCAAATTTCCTCTTCTAGGCATATGCACATCAAAGGATGTGATTGTGCTCATTTCAATATCACAAACTGCTGACAGCATATTTTTACTGAATATACGAACTGTGTACACTTTTTTCAAGTGCTAAACATTTCACAAACATTATAATTTTGCAAGGATTCAAATCAAAATTAAATAAAGGACTTTTTTAATTTTTATTAGCATCATCGTACTGGCTAATTTTTAATGTAGTTAAGTCAAGTAACAGGGAGCTGCCATGGTGCAGTAGCTAGACACCTGCAGATCTGAAGGTTATGAGTTCAGATCCTGATGGAGCTGGATTTATTTTTTTTTAAATATCTTGTTTCCCAGTCCTAACTGGGTACAAGACAAAGTCTTAGGAAGTGAAGGCAGCCGGTGTGATGTTGATTAAATCATCCACTTAGTGCTGACTGTTCTATAACAACTCTTTTAAAGCAGTAATAAATATGACTGGTAACCTATGGTTTAGAGAAGATTCCCTAGCTGACCGTAACAGTTAAATATGAGTTTTTAATGAGTGGAAAACTTGCCATTTACCTGAGTGATGTTATAATGCAATCCTTGCAGAATCTATGGCCACACTTTGTTTGGTGAGGCTCCCTGAGAACAAGCAAACAAATGGGACATTCATATCTTGGCTCTGGAGGGATGATAAAATCACAGTCATAGCCCTCCATGTCTGCACAGCTATCCTAGTTTGTGTGTGTGTGATATTTCAGCACTGTTCAAGGACAAACAATCAAGTTGTTGTGTTAAGCTCAGTAAATATTGCATTTCACACCTGCAGACTTTTGTATCTGAAACAGATGGCAGACTTGTTGTCATGATGTTATTTTAGCATAAACAACATTTTGGAATAAAATATGCTAAACACAAGAATTCTTTTTGGGGGGAAGTGTGCATGCGTGCATGCATGCATGCTTGCATACATGTGTGTGACAGGTGGGGAAGGCAAGAGAGGGAGTTAACCAAATGAAAACTTTGTAGTTTCGTCACATCCAAAGATATTAATCTGCGACTCACTGCAATAATCTTCTTCTTCTGCGTTCATCCAAAGACGTAAATGTGTTTGCTCGTTTACAGGATAGCTATGATATTTGCACCTTTTAGTCGATACATCTGACTTCTGCAGGCAGAAACTTGATATTTAGCATATCAATTTACATGCAAGTAAACAAATCTACCATATAAAATTTTGAAATAAATAGAAGGAAGTAACACATAGGTCTATGTTGGTATTTTTGAAATAATTTGAAATGTATAAACTTGAGAGCAAGAGTTAAAACAAGGATACAAGTGGGAGGCAACATGAAGAGATGGACCCAGCAGAAAGATCTGAGAGAGTACTCTGCCAAACTCTGCCAAGACAAGAGTGTTGGAGATCCACTGCGGTCAGTAATCATTGAGAAGATAGCACCTGACTCACTACCCGATAACACTGCCAACAACAAACTCACCCTTCTATAACACTGCTTTTATAACAAGTGCCAACAACTCAGTGTGTACACTTCTATAACACTGCCAACACTTCTTCTATAACACTGCCAACAACAACTCAGTGTTACACTTCTATAACACTGCCAGTAACAACTCAGTGCTACACTTCTATAACACTGCCAACAACAACTCAGTGTCATACTTCTATAACACTGCCAACAACAACTCAGTGTTACACTTCTATAACACTGCCAACAACAACTCAGTGTTACACTTCTATAACACTGCCAACAACAACTCAGTGTTACACTTCTATAACACTGCCAACAACAACTCAGTGTCACACTTCTATAACACTGCCAACAACTCAGTGTTACACTTCTATAACACTGCCAACAACAACTCAGTGTCACTGCCAACAAACACTCACTTCTATAACACTGCCAACAACCAACTCAGTGTTACACTTCTATAACACTGCCAACAACAACTCAGTGTTACACTTCTATAACACTGCCAACAACAACTCAGTGTTACACTTCTATAACACTGCAACAACAACAACTCAGTGTTACACTTCTATAACACTGCACACTTCTATAACACTGCCAACAACAACTCAGTGTTACACTTCTATAACACTGCCAACAACAACTCAGTGTGCACACTTCTATAACACTGCCAAACAACAACTCAGTGTGTACACTTCTATAACACTGCCAACAACAACTCAGTGTTACACTTCTATAACACTACTAACACTTCTATAACACAACAAACTCAGTGTTACACTTCTATAACACTGCCCAACAACAACTCAGTGTTATACTTCTATAACACTACAACTCAGTGTTACACTTCTATAACACTGCCAACAACAACTCAGTGTTACACTTCTATAACACTGCCAAAAACAACTCAGTGTTACACTTCTATAACACTGCCAACAACAACTCAGTGTTACACTTCTATAACACTGCCAACAACAACTCAGTGTGTTACACTTCTATAACACTGCCAACAACAACTCAGTGTTACACTTCTATATAACACTGCCAACACAACAACTCAGTGTTACACTTCTATAACACTGCCAACAACAACTCAGTGTTACACTTCTATAACACTGCCACAACTCTATAACACTAACACACTGCCAACAACTCAGTGTTACACTTCTATAACACTGCCAACACAACTCAGTGTTACACTTCTATAACACTGCCAACAACAACTCAACACTTCTATAACAGTTACAGTGCACACTTCTATAACACTGCCAACAACAACTCAGTGTTACACTTCTATAACACTGCAACAACAACAACAACTCAGTGTGCCAACACTTCTATAACACTGCCAACAACAACTCAGTGTTACACTTCTATAACACTTCTATAAACAACTCAGTGCACACTTCTATAACACTGCCAACAACAACTCAGTGCACACTTCTATCTGCCATAACAACTGCACACTTCTATAACACTGCCAACAACAACTTAGTGTCATACTTCTATAACAGTGCCAACAACTCAGTGTCACACTTCTATAACACTGCCAACAACAACTCAGTGTCACACTTCTATAACACTGCCAACAACAACTCAGTGTCACACTTCTATAACACTGCCAACAACAACTCAGTGTCACACTTCTATAACACTGCCAACAACAACTCAGTGTCACACTTCTATAACACTGCCAACAAACAACTCAACACTTCTATAACACTGCCAACACAACTCAGTGTTACACTTCTATAACACTGCCAACAACAACTCAGTGTTACACTTCTATAACACTGCCAACAACAACTCAGTGTTACACTTCTATAACACTGCCAACAACAACTCAGTGTTACACTTCTATAACACTGCCAACAACAACTCACTACAGTGTCAGTGTTACACTTCTATAACACTGCCAACAACAACTCAGTGTCACACTTCTATAACACTGCCAACAACAACAAAGTGTCATACTTCTATAACACTGCCAACAACAACTCAGTGTTACACTTCTATAACACTGCCAACAACAACTCAGTGTGTTACACTTCTAACAGTGCCACACTTCATCACACTTCTATAACACAACAACAACAGTGTCACACTTCTATAACACTGCCAACAACAACTCAGTGTCACACTTTACAAACTCAGTGTCACACTTCTATAACACTGCCAACAACAACTCAGTGTCACACTTCTATAACACTGCCAACAACAACTCAGTGTCACACTTCTATAACACTGCCAACAACAACTCAGTGTCACACTTCTATAACACTGCCAACAACAACTCAGTGTCACACTTCTATAACACTGCCAACAACAACTCAGTGTCACACTTCTATAACACTGCCAACAACAACTCAGTGTCACACTTCTATAACACTGCCAACAACAACTCAGTGTCACACTTCTATAACACTGCCAACAACTCAGTGTCACACTTCTATAACACTGCCAACAACAACTCAGTGTCACACTTCTATAACACTGCCAACAACAACTCAGTGTCACACTTCTATAACACTGCCAACAACAACTCAGTGTCACACTTCTATAACACTGCCAACAACAACTCAGTGTCACACTTCTATAACACTGCCAACAACAACTCAGTAGTCACACTTCTATAACACTGCCAACAACAACTCAGTGTCACACTTCTATATGCCAACAACAACTCAGTGTCACACTTCACACAACAACTCAGTGTCACACTTCACACTGCCAACTTCTATAACACTGCCAACAACAACTCAGTGTCACACTTCTATAACACTGCCAACAACAACTCAGTGTCACACTTCTATAACAGTGCCAACAACAACTCAGTGTCATACTTCTATAACAGTGCCAACAACAACAAAGTGTCATACTTCTATAACAGTGCCAACAACTCAGTGTCACACTTCTATAACAGTGCCAACAACAACTCAGTGTCATACTTCTATAACAGTGCCAACAACAACTCAGTGTCATACTTCTATAACAGTGCCAACAACAACTCAGTGTCACACTTCTATAACAGTGCCAACAACAACTCAGTGTTACACTTCTATAACACTGCCAACAACAACTCAGTGTCATACTTCTATAACAGTGCCAACAACAACTCAGTGTCACACTTCTATAACACTGCCAACAACAACTCAGTGTTACACTTCTATAACACTGCCAACAACAACTCAGTGTTACACTTCTATAACACTGCCAACAACAACTCAGTGTGCCAACACACTTCTTCTATAACACTGCCAACAACAACTCAGTGTTACACTTCTATAACACTGCCAACAACAACTCAGTGTTACACTTCTATAACACTGCCAACAACAACTCAGTGTTACACTTCTATAACACTGCCAACAACAACTCAGTGTCACACTTCTATAACACTGCCAACAACAACTCAGTGTTACACTTCTATAACACTGCCAACAACAACTCAGTGTTACACTTCTATAACACTGCCCAACAACAACTCAGTGTCACACTTCTATGCCAAACACTGCCAACTAACAACTCAGTGTTACACTTCTATAACACTGCCAACAACAACTCAGTGTTACACTTCTATAACACTGCCAACAACAACTCAGTGTCACACTTCTATAACACTGCCAACAACAACTCAGTGTCACACTTCTATAACACTGCCAACAACAACTCAGTGTTACTTCTTCTATAACACAGTGTTACACTTCTATAACACTGCCAACAACTCAGTGTTACACTTCTATAACACTGCCAACAACAACTCAGTGTCACACTTCTATAACACTGCCAACAACAACTCAGTGTTACACTTCTATAACACTGCCAACAACAACTCAGTGTTACACTTCTATAACACTGCCAACAACAACTCAGTGTTACACTTCTATAACACTGCCAACAACAACTCAGTGTTACACTTCTATAACACTGCCAACAACAACTCAGTGTTACACTTCTATAACACTGCCAACAACTCAGTGTTACACTTCTATAACACTGCCAACAACAACTCAGTGTTACACTTCTATAACACTGCCAACAACAACTCAGTGTTTCACTTTACACACTTCTATAACACTGCCAACAACAACTCAGTGTTACACTTCTATAACACTGCCAACAACTCAGTGTTACACTTCTATAACACTGCCAACAACTCAGTGTTACACTTCTATAACACTGCCAACAACAACTCAGTGCACACTTCTATAACACTGCCAACAACAACT